AATATTACTGATTATGAATATTAATAATAAATCAAGTGAACAATTTGGTTTCATTACCTAGTTACCTACTTGTACTGGAGTTTAATATTTTTATATATTTTCAAGAGATTTTGACAAGTCAATTTTTTAGTTATTTAATGTAAGAATTTACACAATCGACTGCAATTAAAGATTTTTTACAGACTTGTAGCACTATAATTTTGAAATGATTACGTTGTACGTTTTTAGGTTATTTATACAATAGCTTCATTTATGTAAATAATACTATGAGTTGTACAAATTATATACATATGTAAATTTGATTGTTTATATATTATATTAATATTGTTATTTTAATCCCTTTAAATACGACATTAAGGCATATTTTTAATGTGATATTTTTTCAGTATTCTGTTGAGCTTTAATTTATCAACAATTTTATTTTATGGTTTAGTTTACCTACTTATTTGTAAAAATGTATTGAAAAAATTATTAAATTGATAATTTATTTAATTATTCCAGTTTATTAAAGATTGCAAAAAACTCTCCGTAATGCTATACCATGTACATTATAACTTTCAGATGAACTATCAGTTATCACTGTTTCATTATCTCTTTCCTCCGTCCCATCATCAAATCTAAAATATCGAATTCAACCAATAATCGTTTTAAAATTATGTTTACATAATTTACATTCTGCATCTTCTAAGAACAATGTATGTTCTATGAGATTATTAAAATATAAATTATTGCAATAATTAGTTCTTAAGATCCTTATCTAACAGTGTTGGAATATTTATACATCATTATGTAAAGTGTTTCATAGAATTTGCTTGTCTCCTACTTCTACTGAATTTTAATATCTGTAGAAATTTACAACGGTATTTGGCAATTCTGTAATTTATTTTTTAAAATAAAGGTTTACAAAAACGAATGCAATTAATGATTTATTAAAGATTTTTGCGAGAGAATTTGAATATTTATTGTAAATTTAACACTGGTGATTCTAAAATGAGTGTGTGGTAACCATTCTGCTACATACACATTATCTTCCTATAGAATGATTATTATAATTTTGTAAAATTTTTAAATGCATGTTACTTTAATTTTAATTATTATTATATTAATCTCTTTAAATATAAATAATTTTTAAACATATTTTTAATGTGATACATCTTTAATATTTAGCAGAGCAATAATTAACCAATATATTAATTTATGGTCAAGAAACTATCAATGCTTTGCTAAATTTTAGCCTACCTATTTATCTGTATACATATTTCAAAATGATAATTTATTAGTTAGTTTAGGATATATATATATATATATACTATTTTAATCAGCTTACTCGTAATGATATGTTGAATTATTGTTGAAATTGCTTAAATCTAAAGTATTTCGCCTCATGGTTTCAATTCGTTCCGCTTTCCTTTTATTACATCTAAATTAAAAAAACACACTTATAAGTCTATAAGAATTCTGTTAATATGATATGTATTCGACACTTTATGAGAATAGGATATGGACTAAATCTTTTAAAAATAAAAAAAAGCAATAATTTAGTGATTAGAATTTTATTGATCCAAATTTAACTGTATACGAATAATTATCCAATTTCATTTGAATAATTATCATTCATTAGCTAGTTACTTAATTGTACTGAAATTAAATATTTTTAAATATTTACATATGGTTTTTGGAAATTATGTTATTTAGTTATTTAAAGTAAGAATTTTTACAAATTCAATATTTTTAGTAATTTGTAGCACTGTTGATTTATACAGTAGCTACATTTAGGTAAATATTACAGGGAGTTGTAAAAATAATATATGTATCTAAATTTAAATGTTAATATATTATATTAATCTCATTAAATAGGTTTACATTAAAGCATATTTTGTGATATTGTGATATTTCTTAAAAGTTCAGTAGATCAATAATTTATCAACAAATTTTTATTTATGGTTAACAAACTATCAATGTTATGTTAAATAGGTCCCTTACCCATTTATTTATATATATATATTGAAAAAATTATTATATAGATATTTTATTAATTAGTACCTTATATTAAAAAATTCAAAAAACTTACAAACTCTGTAATGCTGTATCATACTCATCATCATAATCAGATGGACTATCAGTTCCCCCTGTTTCATTATCAGTTTCTGCTGTCCCATCATCAAACCTAAAATTACAAAGAAACCAATAAGTGGGTTAAATTTTTATATGCATAATTTATATTCAGCATCTTTTAGGAACAATGTATGTGCTATGAGATTATTATGAAATATATATTTGCAGGAATATTTATTCAATATCTTTAATGATCCTTAACTAACAGTGTAGGAATATTTGTACAATATCATGCAAAGAGTTTGGATTTATTAACTTTTCTCATACTTCTACTTCTTAATTTTATGTATTAATGTATTAATCTCTTTAACTATAATTAACATTTTAATCCATGTATAATGGAATATTTCATTTATATTTATTAGAGCAATTATTTAACATCAAATTTTCATTTAAAGTCTACTAAGTGTCATTGCCTCTATTAATTTAGGCCTACCTATGAAATTGCATACATCATACAAAAATATAGTTTATTAGTTATGTTGTAGTTAATTGTGTAACTTTAATCTCAATAGTTATTATATTTATCTCTTTAAATATGAATAACATTTTAACATATTTTTTATGTGATAGTTCATTATAAATTAGCAGAACAAAAATTAACAAAATTATCATTAATGGTTAACTTTTATTGCTATTGTTAGGACCACTTGGTCTTATATAATAGATGTAATAAACCGTAGTTATTACTATTCAATTGATATTGTATCCGGAAGATCTCTATTGTATTTTGTTAAATTATCATTTTATATTATCATATTATAAGGAAAAGTAGCACAGATATGTATTTTAAATAGTAACTGTCTAAATTAAAGGTTCTTAATGTATATAAAGAGAACGCGAGGGATACTTGTCAACCAGTCATAACCAAGTGTCATAACAAGTACATATTTATGCGTCATATCTGTATACATAATAAACTAATTTTAGAATAATTGTTGTTTATTTTCTTAAGTTTAAAATCAAAATCCTTATAAACTCGTGCTGAGTCTACTTGGCTCATAACACTATGCAAAATTTGGGCCTACGCTTTTTATATATAACCGTTATTCAAAAAGACAACTAATTAGTTAGGTTTACTATAGAGGTTATATTTACTATATCAATCAACTTACTCGTAATAAAATGCAAAATAATTGTTGACATTAAATAAAGCTCTTTCAATTGTACAATCGGTATCAACTTGTTCCTCTGCCCGTATATGACATCTAAAGTTAAAAACAAACCAATAAATATATAAGAGAACTGTTAACATAAACCATGTTCAACAAATACCAGAATAAGTTATAGTCTGAAACATTTAAAAAAAAAGCAATATTTTAGTCTTTAGAATTTTTTTATCCTAGTCCAGAATAATATAAATACGCCATGTGAAATTGTTTTCATTGTCTAGTTTTTAAATATTTACAACGGATATTCGACAATTTTGTAATTTATTTATAAAAAGTAAATGTTTACAAAGACGCCCGAAATTAAAGGCCTTTTAGAGACTTTAGCATTTTTACAAATTCAAAAATTATAGTAATTGTAACACCGTTATTTTTGAAATGATTATGTTGATAATTCATAGGTTATTAATACAGTAGCTACATTCAAGTGAATAAAACTATATCTTGAACGATTTGTATACTGATGTAAATTTAATTGTTCATATTATTTTATAAATCCATTTACATTTAATCAACATTAAAACATATTTTTAAAGTGTTATAAAATTAGAACTTTGTAGAGCAATTATTTAACAACAAATTTTATTTTATAGTCAACTTATGTATAGAAATAATNTGGCAATTTTTTAATTTATTTATTTAGAATAAAAGTTTACAAAAACCACGGGAATAAAAAATCTTTTAGAGACTTTAGCATTTTTACAAAATCAACCTTTCTAGTAATTATAACACCGTTTTTTTTGAAATGATTATATTGTAAATTCATAGGATATTAACACAGTAGCTACATTCAAGTAAATAAAACTATATCTTGNTAAAAGTATACAAATCTTACGGGAATAAAAAATCTTTTAGAGACTTTAGCATTTTTACAAAATCAACCATTCTAGTAATTATAACACCGTTGTTTTTGAAATGATTATATTGTTTAATCATAGGTTATTAATACAGTAGCTACATTCAAGCGAATAAAACTATATCTTGAACGATTGGTATACTTATGTAAATTTTATTATTAATATTATATGATTAATCCATGTGCCTACGATCATCAACAAATTTTATTTTATTGTCAATATATGTGTAGAAAAAAATTATTACATAGATATTTTATTAAGCGGTCCGTTAGATTTATAATTACAAAATTCTTACTTTATATGTATTGTTTCATCATTTTCAATAGCATTATCAGATGAGCATTTAGTCATCCCGGTTTCAATATCTGATTCCTCTGTCTGTTTTTCACTTCTAAAATAACACATAAAATTAAAAACTGTTTTAAAATATCGTTTACGTAATTCATATTCAGCACATATTGAGAATAACGTATGTGCTACGAGATTATTACTAAATATATATTTTCAAAAACTTTGTCCATAGATCTTTAATGATCCTTACATCCCGGTTTCAATATCTGATTCCTCTGTCTGTTTTTCACTTCTAAAATAACACATAAAATTAAAAACTGTTTTAAAATATCGTTTACGTAATTCATATTCAGCACATATTGAGAATAACGTATGTGCTACGAGATTATTACTAAATATATATTTTCATAAACTTTGTCCATAGATCTTTAATGATCCTTAACTAACAGTGAGGGAATATTTGTACAATATCATGCGAACAGTTTGGATTTATTAATTTTTCTCCTACTTCTACCGAACATTAATATTTGTGGATATTTACAGCGGTTTTTGGCATTTCTGTAATTTATTTTTTAAACGTAAGTGTTTACAAAATCGAATGCAATTAATGATTTATTAACGACATAAGCGTTTATAGAAATTGAACATTAATAGTATGTTTAACGAGTAAGAATCTTCATATTACATGATAATTTACAACAGTATGTGACTTTAATTTTATGTTTTAATGTATTAATATTTTTAACTATAATTAACATTTTAATCCAAGTATAATGTAATATGTCATTTATATTTATTAGAGCAATTATTTAACATAAAAATTTCATTTAAAGTCTGCTAACTGTCCTTGCCTCAATTAATTTAGGCCAACCTATTAAATTGTATGCATCATAATAAAATAATATAGTTTATTAGTTAGTCCGGAACATTTAAAATTCCATCAACTCACCCGGTATAAAATGGTAAAGAATTGTTGGAATAACATAAAACTCTATCATTTGGCCTCTCGTTTCCAACTCGTTTCACTGGTTGTTCATTACATCTAAAGACAAAAATAAACCGATAAAACTATTAGAATATTGTATACATAAATTATATTCTGGGAATATATGTGAACGAGTTGTGGTCATGAATATGTTGAAAAACAAAATTGAGACAATAATTTAGTCTTTAGAAATTTTGATTGTAGTATTAATGTTTAACAATATTAATACAAAGTCATGTGAAATTGGTTTCATTGGCTAGTTTCATACTTGTACTGAACTTATATATTTTTAAATATTAACAACGGGTTTTTGGCAATTTTTTTATTTATTTATTTAGAGTAAAAGTATACAAATCTTACGGGAATAAAAAATCTTTTAGAGACTTTAGCATTTTTACAAAATCAACCATTCTAGTAATTATAACACCGTTGTTCTTGATATGATTATATTGTAAATTCAGAGGTTATTAATACAGTTGCTACATTCAAGTGAATAAAACTATATCTTGAAAGATTTGTATACTTATGTAAATTTAATTATAAATATTATATGATTGATCCATGTGCCTACGATCATCAAAAAATTTTATTTTATGGTCAATATATGTGTAGAAAAAATTATTACAGAGATATTTTATTAATCTCTTTAACTATAATTAACATCTTAATCCATGTAAAATGTAATAAGTCATTTATATTTATTAGAGCAATTATTTAACAAAAAACAAAATTGAAACAATAATTTAGTCTTTAGAAATTTTGATCGTAGTATATATGTTTAACAATATTAATACAAAGTCTTGTTAAATTGGTTTCATATGCTAGTTTTATACTTTTACTGAACTTTAATATTTTTAAATATTTACACCAGTTTTTTGGCAATTTTTTAATTTATTTATTTAGAGTAAAAGGTTACAAAAACCACGGAAATAAAAAATCTTTCAGAGACTTTAGCATTTTTACAAAATCAACCTTCCTAGTAATTATAACACCGTTGTTCTTGATATGATTGTATTGTAAATTCATAGGTTATTAATACATTAGCTACATTTAAGTGAATAAAACTATATCTTGTTCATTTTGTATACTGATGTAAATTTAATTGTTCATATTTGTATCGAAAAAAAAATTGCATGGATATTTTATTAATTATTCGGATATATTTACAATTGCAAAAGACTTACAGTTTGTGTAATACTTTTTCATTTTCGTTAGCATTACCAGAAGAACAATCAGTTAGCTCCGTTGCACCTTGTAGTTCTTTTGCCTGTTCATTGTCTCTAAAATAACAATTAGTACAAAAAGAATTTTAGAATTCGGTTATATGATTTCCATCTCATACTTTTTGAATATTACATTAACTCACTTAGAAAATTTTGATGAATTCTTACTATTTTGATTTTCTTCCATTCTGAATATTTTACACTTTCCTTTTTTTTATTATTGTGAACATAAATCGTTGAATGATTAAATAGCTGTTTGCAGTGTAAACGATTAAAAAATCATATTAGTCCCATGATGATTATCTATGCATAGGTATAATTTTATATTAAACATTTCACATTTTTATACAGAGATAAAGAAAAATGAAAATGAGACGGCAATCGATAACGCAATGACAGTTCGGAAATGAAAAGGTATTGCCAACCGTTGCTTACGAAAGTACCCGACATTAAAAAATCTACAGTTTTGCCCTCAGAAATTGGGCGGTTCTCGATCACTTTGAAAATAACCTTGTACGAGTTATACATGCTAATATTATTATTTTACTTCTTTGTAATGTCGAAAATTTAGAAATTGAATACAAATTACTTGTGATTAAACTAAATATATATCATATTTCCTACTTATATAGAATTTTCTTTGTTGATCAATGAATTCGTTAATTAAACAATAATGTCTAAAACCGGACTTTCATCATCGTTCAATATTTTTTTTTTTGTTATAAAATATAGATAACTTACATTAATGAAATTGTGTGATCTTATTTTTAATCTAATTGTGATTTTAATCTTATTGATGTTTCCGATTTTCTATCGCCTAATTAAACCAATATACCCACGATTTATATTGCATAACATTATTGTTCAATGTTTAGTCGGTTCGTTCGTTTTACGCGGTGAACAGTGCACTCAAATATTTGTTATAAGTATACTAATATTATAAATATTACCAATTATTTATATCAAATCAATCAATCATTCATAATCAAATAATTTTAAACTTTTTAAATTAATATGTTGATTCATTTTTCTTTTTATGATCAATTTTCTTAATTCAATTATCAATTTATTTTAAACGCCAGCATACATTATGTTGTGCACAAAATCGGAACATGTTTTTTTTTTCTTAGTTTGTAGTGCTTTTTTTAATTGGTATTATAAAATTATATTTTTTGAAATGGCCGATTTCACGTAACTGGCAGTTTTATAGCATTGAAATTTCCAATTCCACGTAATTGGAAACGACGTTGCTTATTTATGAAATGGGCAATTCTTCTTCTTCAAATTCACGATTACGGCGTAAGATATACAAGTTAAAACATACAGTGTCTAATATTATTTATATAATTACATAATTCATTAATATTTTAAGTTGAAGTCGCATCAACTACAAAAATATATCCGAAGTTTTAATTAAATTATCCAATTTCATTAAATGTCCAATTAAAAAAAAAATTAATTGGATACTCCTTTTACTAGAGATTTAAATGGAAACAAAATAATAGATAGCTGGTAAGTAGGTAGCTAGGTACTCAATAAATCAGTACAAAATGCTCTATCTATGTAAAACACCAATTATACCTATTAAGTATAACTTCTTTCGTCATTTAAAAAAATTGTGTTGCTAAAAACTATATAGCTAGTAATAGTGATATTTTTTATGTACTTCGGTTAAAAATAATTTTAGGTACCGAAATTTTCCGACATAACTTACTTTTATAAGACATTTTTTGACGCAATCAAATTGTTCACAAGTGAAACTCCGATGTATACAAAATATGTTATGTGATACACCACATTCAAATTTCAAAGCAATATACTTAAATACAATCGAGAATTACGATACCAATAGTTCTCTTTTTAGGATTTACAATGTATGTATGGGGTAACGCTAAATCTCTGTCATAGAGCGCGCTCCGTATACGGTAAACGGTGAAATTATGATTTATTTGACATATCAACAATTAGTGTTAATTTTTAAAACGGCTAGGTTGAATTTCAATTATACCAGTTTATTTAATAGCACCTATGTTTAATGGGGCATTGTCCATAGATATGAAAACATATTTGTGAACATTTTAAATTAATTTTGCTATGTTATTAAATGTAAATCAAATATACCTACCATACAATTTAATTTTGATGTACGGATATAATGGAATATAAAAAAAATTGAGACTTGACTTTTTAAAAAAAGATTATTATAAATGGCCGTGCAATGCACAATCAAAACTGATAGTGTGATAAGGGTTAAGAAACATGTTTATTTTTTTTATATGATCATTTACCAAACAGTTTTTGGCAATTTTTTAATTTATTTATTTAGAGTAAAAGTATACTAAAACCATGGGAATAAAAAATCTTTTAGAGACTTTACCATTTCTACAAAATCAACCTTTCTAGTAATTATAACACCGTTTTTTTTGATATTTACAGCGATATTTTTGGCAATTAGACATCCCGGTTTCAATATCTGATTCCTCTGTCTGTTTTTCACTTCTAAAATAACACATAAAATTAAAAACTGTTTTAAAATATCGTTTACGTAATTCATATTCAGCACATATTGAGAATAACGTATGTGCTACGAGATTATTACTAAATATATATTTTCAAAAACTTTGTCCATAGATCTTTAATGATCCTTAACTAACAGTGAGGTAATATTTGTACAATATCATGCGAACAGTTTGGATTTATTAATTTTTCTCCTACTTCTACCGAACATTAATATTTGTGGATATTTACAGCGGTTTTTGGCATTTCTGTGATTTATTTTTTAAACGTAAGTGTTTTCAAAATTGAATGCAATTAATGATCTTTTAACGACATAAGCGTTTATAGAAATTGAACATTAATAGTATGTTTACGAGTGAGAATCTTCATATTACATGATAATTTACAACAGTATGTGACTTTAATTTTATGTTTTAAAGTATTAATATTTTTAACTATAATTAACATTTGAATCCATGTATAATGTAATAAGTCATTTATATTTATTAGAGCAATTATTTAACATAAAAATTTCATTTAAAGTCTGCTAACTGTCTAAACTAATGTTTAACATATTTGTGAACCTTTTTAAATTAATTTTGATATGTTATTAAATGTAAATCAAATATATCTACCATACAATTTAATTTTGATGTACGGATATAATGGAATATAAAAAAAAAAAGTGACTTGACTTTTTAAAAAAAGATTATTATAAATAGCCGTGCAATGCACAATCAAAACTGATAGTGTGATAAAGGTTAAGAAATATGTTTATTTTTTTTATATGATCATTTACTAAACAGTTTTTGGCAATTTTTTAATTTATTTATTTAGAATAAAAGTTTACAAAAACCACGGGAATAAAAAATCTTTTAGAGACTTTAGCATTTTTACAAAATCAACCTTTCTAGTAATTATAACACCGTTGTTCTTGATATGATTATATTGTAAATTCAGAGGTTATTAATACAGTTGCTACATTCAAGTGAATAAAACTATATCTTGAAAGATTTGTATACTTATGTAAATTTAATTATAAATATTATATGATTGATCCATGTGCCTACGATCATCAAAAAATTTTATTTTATGGTCAATATATGTGTAGAAAAAATTATTACAGAGATATTTTATTAATCGGTCCGTTAGATTTATAATTACAAAAACCTTACTCTATGTGTATTGTTTCATCATTTTCAATAGCATTATCTGATGAGCATTTAGTCATCCCGGTTTCAATATCTGATTCCTCTTTCTGTTTTTCACTTCTAAAAAACACATAAAATTAAAAAGTGTATTAAAATATCGTTTATGTAATTCATAATCAGCACCTATTGAGAATAACGTATGTGCTACGAGATTATTACTAAATATATATTTTCAAAAATTAAGTCCATAGATCTTTAACGATCCTTAACTAACAGTGTAGAAATATTTGTACAATATCATTTGAACAGTTTGGTTTCACTAACTTTTTTCCTAATTCTACCGAACATTAATATTTGTGGATATTTACAGCGGTTTTTGGCATTTCTGTAATTTATTTTTTGAACGTAAGTGTTTACAAAATCGAATGCAATTAATGATTTATTAACGACATAAGCGTTTATAGAAATTGAACATTAATAGTATGTTTAACGAGTAAGAATCTTCATATTACATGATTATTTACAACAGTATGTGAGTATAAATCTATCTAAATATAATTAACATTTACGCTTGAATTTCTTAAACTATATACCTTGTGCCAGCGTTTTAGTTTTAAAAACGGTTTCGTGTCTTAAATATCAAATTTTAAAATAAAAATACGGGACGACACTGTAAATCGTTGAATAATGGTGATTAAAAAGTTGGATATCACAGCTTATTTTTTCAAAATATACTTTTTAAGAAACTATAAAAAAAATCATGATGAATTCCAAATCAAATCAATTGAAATTTTTTTTTATAGAAGTTATCGTGGAACAAAACATTTTATAAATGGAAAAATTATTCATGGAAAAATAATCAGGTAAATAAAAAAACAAGGAAGGTAAATTAAATAATGTATACTATTTATTATTCGAATAATTAATACTTATTATTTGTTCATACAAACACAAACAGTTTAGCTTTTACAACATTAGTTATATTAAAATTATGCTTAACATATAACTATATAGACAATATTTAAAGACTAAAATATTTGCTAATACTGGGAACGATTGCGACCGTGGGACTATGTAGGAAGTTGAGAAGATAAGATTTAGAACAGGATTTAATTTATAACTGTACGCAATGATTAATCAATACTAACAAAAAACTTTTCTGAACGGAGTTCGGTCATTAGCAACTGCTATTTCAACAATGCGCGTTTTCACAACAACGATTGTTTAAAAATGAATAAAATACATAACAAAAACTTAATAAGAACAATAAATATATAAAACGTTTGCCAGTGAGAAACTTATTATTTGTATTCTTCTTATTTTATTTTAACCTAAAGAATTCGGTTTTCCTCATTTTCTCGAATATTAATGAAAATTTCAAAAAATAACTTTTTTAAAGAACCAAAAATCCAATCAAAAGTGGTCTCTTGTTATGTTTTAATTGAAACAAGATTTCTAGGGAAAAGGTTATTTACAAATACCCTTCAAATTAAAACTTATAGATCCCTCGCTTGACCCCAAATCTAAAAATTACAAATACAATATTTTACTTGGCAAATGATTGAATCCAAACATATTTTTAAAATGTAACAGTACGTATATTTTAGTCTTGAGAGTTTCAACATATAAATTTTACTCAAATTCTAACACGAAATATTTCTGTCCAGCGACTTCGGATTGAAATGGTGTTTTCAAGATTTGGTATGATAACCTATCATACTATTTGGAAGTACTTAATTATAATAATAATAATAATAATGATATTGGAAATGCAAATTTGAGTATAAATCTGAATAACTATAGTCCAAGTACAGTTTTAGAAAATCCTATCATTAATAAGTATAAAATAACTCTTATGGCCTAGTCTAATGAAAATGTCTAGTTTCGCCTATGACACCAACCAAAACTAAAAAGTAGAATACCTCGTCAATGGCTTGAAATAAAAGTACATTAAATAAATTGACAACAATTTTCATTAATTTACGTATGATGAAAAATATAAATTAAAAAACTAAGTTAAGTTGATCCGGGGATACTCCATTGAATAAAATACTGAAGTAAATAAGTATATAAATGACCTTTAGTTATACAAAAGTTAAATCTCCCTGTAAATCTTATTCATGCACCGCTACTGTGAGTTTTATATTTTCTAGTCATCACCGACTACTCGGGTCCCGTCCGCACATTTACATACTGTATCCGAGTTTGGCCCAATCCCCGAAGCTGTATGAAAATATACGAAATCTGCAGCATGGTTTTTCACGGATTATAGGTTTTAAGTTAGGACACTTATAGGATACTGACATCCCTGAAGCATTATATCGGGTTGAAAACGATAACATTGCCTGATATAGTAGATTGTGTTTTGTAAAATTCCTTAAACTTACCTAATAGGACAATAAGTATATTTTTATATTATTGCGTTGATTTTTTTTTTTTTACACTGCAGCCATATATCTCGGCTAGATATACACACTATAGTATACGTATAATATAATATTATGTGTATATGTAAATGATAAGCCGGAACATAATACACGTCGTCGTCGTCGTCTTCGTTGTCATCGTGTTTGCTCGTTTTTATTATTTCCCCTTCTTCCCCCGCGCGATCATGTGTGTACAGTATGTCCCATACCTACCGGGCATGTTATATATTATTAAACTCAGCGGCAGCGGTGATGACTGACGCGCCCTTTTCGCGTGCGACCTGTTATAAAGGCTCACGAGCATTTATATTATTCGTATATCGGGACCGACAAGAATCGTACGTGACAATACACAATGACAGCGAGCTGTATCCACTGTCGCCGTTGAATATACGCCCGATGAATGGTATAATAAACATACACACACATACACACATGATATACGCGTACATACATATCACTAGTATACAGAGTGTTTCATTCATACGGTAACATGAAAAAATTTAGTAGGATGAATTGGTGGGGGGGGGGTGGAAATAGGGTTGTGGTTTTATTTTTAGAAAGACACTTACCAAAATACATATAAATGTTGAGCCAATTTTAAAAATGTTTACCTTCGTTATGCACAATAAAACTTCCATTTTCTTAAACGGAAATACCTAATATTCTTGCATCAAAATAATTTTTTTATCGACTTTTCAAAAAAATTAAACCACGTGGCTTTAAAAAAGAAAAAAAAAATTTTAAAAATTAATCATAAAATAATATAATATGTAGTTTAGATATTTTGAATAACAAAGAAAAAAATCATATTTTTAAATTAATTTTAAATATATCAGACGATTTTTGATATAAAGGAAAATATTGTATCAGTCAAATTTGTTAGAAGAAAAAAAAAGCTGATACTGGAGACGGGTACGGTCACTGTTGTAGGTGGGTATTTAGAAAAGTGGGATACATAATAAGTTATTTCAGTTATACCTGTAATCAACGATAAATTATTGCCAACGAAAAACTATTTGGAGAAAAGTTCGCTTATACATAATTTGATAGGCCGTGATTTTTACGATTTTTGTCAAAAAAAATACTTGTTAATACTTTAAGAAATTAACTGCCGCGGCATTTTTTAATGTTTATAAAATGTTGCTAAACGCACCACTTGTGGTAAATGGTTCGTGGTACGTGTACCATTTAAGGTACATTCGAGTTATTGACAACAGTAACAGCGTGTGAATTAATAGGTACCTGTAAATGCGATTTTCCTATAAAAGATGTTTGTGTAGCTTCCTAGTAATGTTTTAGTAAAAGTATCAAAACAAATTTATAATTTTTCAATGGTTATGATTATTTTAGTTTAGCATAATGGACAAACATTGTATTAAATGGTATACATTACTTGGCAACACTACAGAGGTGCATGGTACACGCGTGACAGTTAACTTGTTGATCGCACTCGAAGAATATTATAAATTATATATTAAAGAAAACTCTATTTCAAGAATGCCATTTTTTTTTAAAAAGCGTGTGCAATAATTATTAATTTGAAATAATTTTTAAAAAGCCGGGCAACTGCGCAAGTGGGTGGCGCACTGTTGCAGGTGGGAAGTTGAGAAGGTAGGCTATAGACGGGAATTTAATATATATCTATAAGCAATGATAAACCATTGCTAATGAAAAACGATTCTGACCGGAGTTCAGTTGATAGTGTTGCTTTTTTCGACAATCTATGTATCGTATTATGGTAAAATAATTACTTATGCATTATTATATATTTCCATTGTTAATATTTGTTTAATATTGTACCTATTTTTCCGTTTTTTCTAGTTTTCCAATGTTTTTTCCCTTGATTTTTCTATTTATTGAGAAAACTCCTGGAAATATCGAAAAATGACCGCTTTAAAGCACCCTCCTAGTTCAATTTCCTTTCAGAAAGAGTGATACACTTGTGAATCAAAGCAAAATTTCCGGTAGAAAAGTCGTCCACAGAAGAAAAAAAAAAATAAAACATCTTTGTAAAACCATAAGCTTCTTCGCTCCACTCACGATATTCATTTGCGGATGGCATTTATAGAACTGTTAGACATTGCCGACCGAATCCGAAAAAAAAAAAATTTTTAATTTCGGTGGAAACGATGACCGCCCACAAACTAAGTGCAAAACACACTGTATAATACGCGCGCACCTATAATATTACTGTAACTACGTACAATGCGTTTTTTATCATTATTATTATTGTCGCCCCTCTTCCACCGCCCTTTTTCTTTTCTTTTTTCCGTCCGCTTATTTCTTCTTTTTTTCCACACGTCCGTGTGTACATTTCACATATCAATTCGTATACGGCGTTGTACACGAAAGCGGGTAATAACAGTATAACATAATAGATACCGATGCCTGTATAATACGCATCGTACGTACTCGTATTATTAATACCGCCGCGTCTCTGATGCCGTCGGCCCTCGCGCCCCACGACCCCACGCCCCGCTCAACCGGCGAGACGTCGTCGTCGGCCGTGTATTCCGCGCGCACGCACGCGCATTTATTGTTGTGCACGCGTTTTGTTCCGTTTTCACGCATCAACGCGGGCCGGTTCGCGGGCGCGTGCGTGCGCGTACGCGCGTTTCGCGTATCAATCGTACGCCCCCGGGGCCGTTTGTTGACCGCGTGTGCACGAGACGGCCCGCGTAATAATGCGACGCTACGACAAAGTGCGTCCGCGTATTAATATTCGCCGCCGGTCGTGTACAGTTCGCGTTACAGTGTTGTGCGCGCGTACAATGCTGCCGCATTGTGCGCGCACGTATTGTAAATACCGTCGCGTCCGCCGGCGGGGCTCGCGCATTGTAAACGGCATAATGCGACGCGGCCGCGCGGGAACGACCGGGTCCGCGAGCGGCGGACGGACGTTCGTGTCGCCGCGGTGTAAACGTACGCGCGGCGGGCACGCGGATTTCTCGCGCGCGCATTGTCACGCCGTCGATTAAACGCGGTTTTTGTGCATCGGAATCTCGTTAAAATCCGAACCCCCGCGGCCCGGTCGCGCGCACCCGCTGAACCCGCCCGCCCCACGCCGTGCCAGCGCGTGTATGGATACGCGCACCGTCGCCGCCGCCGCCGCCGCCGCCGCCGCTGTCAAATTATCAACGCGTTTTTCCCGCGTAACACCGGTGGCGCGGGCGGGCGGTGGACGCGGCCGCGGGTCGCCATGCCGTACTTCGGTATTGTTATTTTTGTTGTTACGTTTTACCCGTGTTCGCCCGTACCGCGGCCGTATACCTGTTGCCGCGCGAACGGCGGCCGCCGGTCATTGTCGCCGTCGCGACAATCGCAATTAAATCGAAAACCGCGGTGGTCCGCCGGAATCCGGGAGCCGCGCGTATCGTCGCGTCCGATAGCGGCCCGGTTACGTTTCGGCCGAACACGGTACGGGCACGGCGAACGTTAAACGCACAACAATAACACTGTTAGGGTTGTACATTTCGTAACGCAGTGGACTCCGCTTGTGGCGGGCACGTCGGGACCGGCTGGTGAAAACGTTCTAAACTATCGCATACGTAAAACTAAACACAACGTGGTAAATGAAATTGCTATTCGGATGTGGAAGGTGTACGAAACGTAAAACGTTGTAATTATTGCCCGTTGTCTAAGCTGTTTGACGTGGATCTGGTTAGCGGCTTGGGGCCCACACGCTTCGAGCTTATCAGACGGATTATTTGCGTTGCCCTCTTGCACGGGGTAACATGCAAGTCTGTATGTTCAATAAACGAAATCGCTTGGTAATGCTTTTTATTATAATAATTTTCGACAAACACAACCGCATAGATACGCGACGAAACCCGATTAGGTATATTAGTCGTTTTTAAATACGTTTTGCATATGGTTCTAGCGCTATGGTAAAATAAAAATTGTCCGCATAAACCGAATCGTGTGCCCATATTATGCGGTCTCATTTTTAACCTTGCTAATATACATTTGTATTGGGACCGGACCATTTTGCCCATACAACGCGGATGCCCGTGTTGACCGGTGCCCACATTTGGCTGAACCCACTGTACTGCCAAGAAGTATATCCGTCATATACTTCGCACGTGGGTGTGTAACCACTGCGGTTGTATAGGTGACGAATTGGGAAAGTAGTAGAGCGGAGATTCAATGTGTATCCGTAACCAACGACGAAAAAACGATTCTTAGCAAAGTTCGGTTGACCGTGTTGCTTTGTCAACAATGTAATGTACGCCATATTAATATGGTGAATTATAAGCAATATTTCTTTTTAATATTGTATACCTATTTTGCTACGGTTTTCTCGTGTTTTTTCCCAGGTTTTTTTAATTTGTTTGGAAAATCGAAAATGACCTCCCTAAAGTACCTGTACCTCCCCAGTCAGATTTCCTTTTAGAATAAATGTTATTATTATAAATCGGAGCAAGATTTTCTGGTAGAAAAGTTGCGCACAAATAAAAAAAAATAAATATCTTTGTAAAACCATAGGCTTCTTGATTCCATTCAGAATCTAAAATTGAACATTTTACGCCTCATGAAATATTGATAAAATATTTTACAATCAGACAAACCCGATCAATTAAGGGTCACTCTATTCGCAGTCGATTAGAGCACCATCGTTATTATTTAGTTGTTATCATCCAAAATATATACCTAATAATATAGAATATAGATGATAAAAAAATAATTCATTTTTTTTTTTTTTTTACAAGCGTGATAATGATTTTTTTTTTATAAATGTAAAAACGGTTTTGAAATACTGATCATCTTATTTAAATTTTCGGAAGATGGTATTTTGTGTCGATTTTATTAATTGTAATTTGCGCCACCAATAGGTACATTTAAATGCTTATGTAATTTGTGCCAAAACATATATAAATTAATTGTATTAATTTGCGCCAAGACAAAAAACGAAATGGAATATGTAATCTGCGCCATGAATTATATGAATTAACGTGAAAACACCAAAATTTGACTTATTCGATGTACATAAAGTACGTATTACTTACATACATTTTTTAATTATAATTATAATATTACTGGTTTTATTGATTCAGAAAGGCACAAACCCTGAAATTGATTCCTTTTTAGAGGAAAAAATGAAAGAATCAATTCCATTATACTAGGATTTTAAACATGTCAATAATTCTTAGAAGTATAAGAATAGTTTCCAAATTTAATTTACTTGATCAACTCATACTTGATTTTTTATGAAAACTCGATATCTACACAAGTAACAAATGAAAACCTTCAATGTCAAATTAATTAATTATAATTATTTGAATAGGTATGTTAAAAGCAAAAGTGAAATTATTATTTTCAAATTAAGAACATAAAAAAACTTTATTTTAGTGTGCATTTATATAAAAAAAAAAAAGAAGGAGGAACGCTTACAGGAACGACTCCCTTTTTTAAAGTAATAAAAATATAATATTGTGTTGGCCGGAGGCGTGAAGTGTAATAAGAAGTAAAATTCGCGAAAAATATACGCACAACGCAAATTGAAAAATAAGTATTTTTTTAATCGAATTTTATTTAGTTATTTCATTTGGTAAGTATTATTCATATGTTTTTTTTTTACATCCTCGATAGAAATGCACGTACCTATATGACGTAAGTATATTTACTACACGCTGTTGTAGTTTCTCAATAAAATTGCTTAATTGAAGTGAATATTATGTACTTTATAGATTCGGAGCGTAACGGAGATTGTATTGGTTTTACAATAATGTTTTTTTTAACATTTTTTTTTTTATCTATTTTTTTATCTTTTTTTTATCTTTTACCTGAAATCTTGGGTAAGAATTGTCTGTTACACCAGTAACGAAATACCGCACGTACATAAAATGCTAATAATCAAATCTACTATTATTTTCCACTAAATTACACAAATTAGCAAACGAAATGTGTTCCATGGTTTAATCATTTGAATAAAAATAAATTACCATATAACTAATCGACATCATGGTCAACTTTTCTTTTTGGTACCTAGTACAAAATAAAACATTGCGATGAACCAGAGCATGATCCCTCCTACCCCCCCTTGTGATTAGTTAACATGTTTAATTATTTTATATTCATAATTGATTATTTGTTAAATCAATAGCACAAACAGGAGGAAGTGGGTTCAGGTGTTTTAAATTTCCCTCCTTGGAATGTGAGACTTTTTGACGTTAATTCGTAATTTGTACTAAGCAATTTTCAGACATTTTTCTTTAACGTTGCATATAACACAACAAGTATAACGTATACTTAACATATTTAATTATTTACTATCGCGGCCGCACATGGAAAAATAATATTAGTTAACATTTAAACGCCCAAAACAAACCATACAACTCAAGCGACATATGCAGACGATACCGCTATACTAGCATCAAATAAAGACCCAAACATAGCCACCCATGANAGCGGGAGTACCCTAGGGAAGTAACCTATCACCTATACTCTACAATATCTACACATCAGATATGCCCAAAACAAACCATACAACTCTAGCGACATATGCAGACATACTAACTATACTAACTATACTATACTTACTATACTAACATCAAATAAAGACCCAAACATAGCCACCCATGATATACAATACCATATAAATCTAATCTCCAATTGGACTCAAAAATGGAAAATTAAAATAAACGAAAACAAATCAGTTCAAATAAATTTTTCTCTGAAAAAAAAACGAATGTCCACAACTTTTGCTCAATAATACACNAGACGATACCGCTATACTAGCATCAAATAAAGACCCAAACATAGCCACCCACGATATACAATATCACTTAAATCTAATCTCCAATTGTACTCAAAAATGGAAAATTAAAATAAACGAAAACAAATCAGTTCAAATAAATTTTTCTCTGAAAAAAAACGAATGTCCATAACTTTTGCTCAATAATACACCAATTACTATCCAAAATGTAACCAAATACCTCGGAGTTCATCTAGATAAAAGACTTACCTGGGCCCAACACACAAAACAGAAAAGAAAACAATCAAACACACGTCTACATCTCCTCCGTCCATTATTGTCTCCTTCAATGAATTTAAAAAACAAAAATATTAATATACAAGACGATTATTACCCCCCTCTGGTCATATGGTATCCAAATCTGGGGCCAAGCCAAACCATCCAATATAAGACCCATACAAGCTTTCCAGTCTATATGTCTTGGACAAATAACTGGATCCCAATGGTATATGACCAACGATGCATTACATAAAGATCTCCAAATCCCAACAGTCAACGAAATAGCAACTCGTCATTACAAAAAGTTTCACTCCAAACTGCACTCGAACCAAAACCCTCTAATTTCCCGCATGTCCTCTATAACCATCCCCAACAATCCTCCGAGAAGGTTAAAAAGAAAATGGCCAAGAGACGCTCTTGCCTAACGGACTCCATATTATATGAACCCATCAGATTAAATAGGAGGTACTGTTGATGGACGGTTTTCCCCCTCAAGACATTCAAGTCATTTTAATATTACCTATGTTATCAAATTTACTTATTGTACAAATTGTATAGATGGTAAATATGCTTAAATAATAAAAAAAAAAAAAAACATTTAAACAAATCTGGATTTTTCAACATTGAATTCTGGAAATAAAATCCCGTTCAAAAAAACTGTTACGTATTATTTAAGATATACATTGAGCATTCTATATACACGCATTATATTTCTCGTTTGTTATTGCAACACGTATATTTTATACGCTAACATTCATATTGTACTAAAGTATTACGATTAAATTGAATATCACGTGAATAGAATATATTATTATTACGAGTAATATGTATTTTTTCTCCGAACGTTCCGGTAGGTATATTGTCACTGTAAAGAGTATTGTGAGTGGCGGCCTCCTTGGAGTTTTCAAAAGGATAAAATCGTGTCGGGTCACAATGTAGTGGTTTATTGTATAAAAAAAAATAAAAAAATAAACCCCATCAAAAATATAATTTAGGTATATGAGTATATAAATTATTTTTAAAGAATATACAAGCGGGTATAAGTGTGTTACAGGATATTAAATAATGTATATGCCTCCGACAACACACAACTATTCAGTTCGTCACAGTTCGAAATATTGTAAATAAGCTTTAAATGTTTTGTTGCCACTGGAATTTTCTAGACATTTTCAATGGTTGTGAACATTTCGATTTGTATGCATATTTTTTTAAATTTTTAATTAAGATTCTGTTGTTTCGATAACGTTTAACTTTATTAACCATGTATAGAGAGTCATCGAAGTCATTTAACCAATCTAAGAATTGAAAAAAACAAAAAAATCACATATA